TTGAAACCATCTAGTACTTGCAACTCACAGGCGGTACGCGATCTGATGTCCGTGACTCGTGCTGTGGTAGATGTTACAACATGGATTGACACCATGCGGCATTGGTAGGAGTAGGTCACAGGTCATTTCCTGGGCACCCTGAGTACCCTTGGGAACTGAAGCAGCTACTTTGCTCCAGACACTAGGGGCCCCTGGGACATGAAGCTGAATAAGTACGGTTCTTATCTTCAAGAAGCTCACAATCCAACGGAAAGTGATCATATCAGGATAACCCTGGCTTCAAGTAACAGAATCCCCTACCCAGAGTGCATTAAGTGACGAGGGAAATGTATTACGTCTCTGTTAGCTATGCTCAAACTCCACTGCACGTGAGAGAAAATCTAGAAGTATGAAGGCTTAAACAAGACAGAAGTGTATTCCTCTCATAAAAGAAACAGAGATAGATAGTCCAGGATTACAGCCTATTGTTCTACGGTGCTCTAGGCCGAATATTTGTGATCCTCCAACATTCGTATATTGAAGCCTAACCCCCTTTGGTTTGGGACCTTTAGGAGGTGATTAGGTCATGAGAGTGGAACCTGAATGAATGCAGGGACATGGCAAGACGTCGGCAGTCTGCGACCCCACTGAATGGAATCAGTGCTCTTATAAAAGAGACCCCAGGCCCTTCCGCCATGCAGGGACATGGCAAGACGTCGGCAGTCTGGACCCCAAGGAGGGTCTTCTCCAGAAGCCGACCCTGCTGGCCTCCTGAACTTGGACTTAGAAGCTCAAGAACCATAAAAAACAAACGTCTGTCGTCTGTAAGCCACCCAGGCTATGGTGTTTTGTTACAGCAGCTCAATGGACTAAGGCACATGTACGGTGTCAGGGGCCACAGACCAGCCCTGGACACTTCTAACTTCTTGTCTGGGACATGTCCTACTGCTGTGCCATTCTCAATCACGGCCTTTCCCACAGTGTGGGCCTGGATGGCTGATGTCCAGAAAAGTAAAAGAGATGAAGGATCCAGAACCTTCCTTGATTATATCCCCTAAGGCCAGGATTCAGTCACATGGCCACACCTCACTACGCGGGTAGCCTTGTGTTCGACTAAAAACCAGCCATCCATCACCAAAGAAGAAGGGATGTAATTACGAGGTCAGTACCAAGAAGTAAGAATCTGTCACCAACATAAAAAGAAATCACTGCTTTCAGTGTGACCAGTGCATCCATGCAGAAGGACCAACTCAGGGAGGGTCAACAAGAGTCACAGGGAAGGTGAAGACACAGCAGAGATTCTGAGGGATCGATAAATGTCTGCCACATGCACCAGGGAAGGGAAGGTGTCCAGGGAAAGGAGAGACTGGTTAATGATCACGATGCATCGTAAAACCTTCAGAAGGAAAGGAGAATGTTTTGTGGACCATTTGGACCATTTTGTGGACCATTTTGTAGACCATTTGTGGACCAATGGTGGACCGGACAAGGGAGGGGCTGAGGTGGAGGGAGGCACGGACGACCCTTGGCTTCTCACTTAGACAACAGAACAGACACCAGTGCCGCACTCAGTGACAGAGCCCCAGAGATGAAAGATCATTGATTCGGTCTCAAATGTCTTTCAGGAGCTTTTTGGCACCCTACCTCCTTATGAGTAAAAGTAGTTAGGTCAGAAAAACGCGGTTTGGGTACCAGTTAACCCCTTCTATCCGCGCTACCTCTGTCTTAGAAATTTAGGCGTGGAGCATCCAGGAAAAGCACCCGAGTGATAAGCTATCATTTAATTAATTATAGCTTATTACTATAATAAGTATGAGTAGTCATGCGATCATGGCATACCTGGGGGGTAGCTTCCAGAATAAGGCCTGGGCAGTTTCTTGCACAAGGAGGGGATGACTTCAAAGTACTGAATGTATTGAAAGAAGAGGCTATGACATAGTTTTTAAGATTTTGAAAAGTTGTATTGTAGACAGCTACATAAGAGGAAATGTTTTCGAGGAGAGAGAAACGACATAAAAAAGAATGAGTCATTGGAAAAAGTTATGACAGACACACACACGCACACACAGACACACACACATACACACAGACACGCACGCGCGCACACACACACACACACACACACACACACACACACACACACATGATACGTCAGCAGAAATTCCGGAGAAGTAATTTTTAGGACATTAACTCACTGTGAGGAACCCGGAATCCTATTTTTGCAGAAACCAAGAATGAGGTCTGTTATTGAGTTTGGGAGACGTAAGAGTGAGCTTGTCACTAAGGAAGGATAGAATGACAGAACAAATCAGCCTAAAGGGCTTTGGCAGAACGACAAAAATCCTAATGGCAATCGTTCCTCGTAGGTAGAGGAGCTTCCGTTTTTCAAATACGTTCGCATTGATTCATTTGATGCACCCGTTGACCCTAGGATTTCAGGGAAACAGGCACCATCACTGCTCAGTGTCGAAAGAACAGGAGACTAAGTGGACACTGAATAAATAAGGTTAACACACGAAAGCAGCACACGCAAAACTGTGTTCCTTAGAATTCGGTTTAGTTGTTCCTAGGAATATGTGATTAAAGAAAAAATGATAGCTCACGGCCCATCGGTTTTGGGGATGCTGACTGAGAGTGACCCAGCTTCTGAAGCGCAGGACCCCTCAGAGCCCGTGACGGGCGACCCTGGACCAGGAACCTCACGAATGGGCATGAAAACACTGGAGTTCTCAATTCTTCCAACACAGAACCCCGGTCCTCCCGGAACCCTTCCTTGCCACACTTTCTGGGGACTTTTAAAAAACACGGTATGAGAGAATTTGTCAGAATCATCCTTCGGGTCCAAGGTGAACTGACTCCTCCAGACTCAAGTCTCGCGTGACGAGGGAGAAGCTACGATGTGACTTGCCTTGGAGGCCACCTTTACGGGTGAACTGACTCCTCCAGACTCAAGTCTCGCGTGATGAGGGAGAAGCTACGACGTGACTTGCCTTGGAGGCCACTTTTATGCAAACGTTAAGCCACTCGCTGGACACTCCCCGGTGGTGATGCCGAGATCAGAAAGCGGGTTTCCCAGACTCAGGCCACCATCTGCCTTGGTCACAAAAGTGGCAGACGGTCTCCTGTCCACTTAGGTTCCCTCCCAAGTGTTACTCATCTCAAAAAAAAAAAAAATATGTAAAACCACGCACAGAAATACTCGACCCCTCACAGCGAGCGTGAGCCGCTTTGATGCTCCGGATGAAAACACTGGACTTGGGTTTAACGAGAAGGTGAGGGACTATATTTAAAGTCGCTGGAGTCTTAATATTGTTGCAATTACAGTTAATCAAATTCACAGCCGCCTCTGACAGCTGTGGGTCCTTGAGGGGCGCTTCATGGAAGAGGCAAAGAAATGAAAAATGAATTGTTCTGTATGTGCATTATTCGTATATTTATTTTCCATTTTTTGCATGACAGCACCTTTGGCTGCATCTGCAATGAGGAAGGCACCAAGTTTTAAAATTCTATAGCCAATTTCTCATTTTAAAACTTCTAAAAAGAATCAGATATGCAAAACTGGCATTTTCACTTAATAGTATCTTTAAAAATGAAAGCAGCATTGTGTTCTCATAAATGCTACAGATTTCTCACAGGAGAGAGACATCCACAAATGTCACATCATTTCTGTATTGACCAAATAGCATACTATACAGGTCCTCATTGCTTTTGGAAATTGATTTGTAGTCAAATAAATTCTAAAATCTGGTCACGGTGTGCTGCTTCGACCCCAGTATTTCATTACGGAGATTCATAAATTACACACCATTTAGGTTAAAAATGCATATCTTAGAGTTACTCTAGCTTTTTCTATGCCCCCAGAGATGAACACTAAATGTATCGGATCTAAAAGAGTAAGAGGGCTGAATCGGCTACAGGAATGCAGCAAGGGCTTGGCGGCTTCACGCATGTTCATAATTCTTTCGTTCTAATGCTTTGAACTCTGCTTAATGATTATTAGAGATGAAAGAGAATGTGGCTTATCCAGGTCCTCAAAGCAAAGATTTCCATATTAAATTCCAAAGCCAGCAGGTAGAAGTCTGAAAGAGGGCAAGTGTGTCCTCGACCTCCCCTGACTCGTTTAATATTCAAGAGGAAACTAAGCGATCCACTTCGGTTTGCACATTCGAGTCTGGCCGTCATAAACCTTGCCAACCCTGGCTTTCTCTGCCCTGATCATCACCCAGCCCATTTCCGTCAGATCAAAGTTCCTTTTCCTGGCTTCAGGTGTCTCAGTACAGATATCTTCTGGTAAGCCGTACAGAAGGATGACACAAAGACACCCGTATGGATTCCATGTCTTCTATTGATAATATTCATCGCTTTTCAACCAACCGTGTAAGAAGTGTCTATTACGTATTAGACACGGACAACTAATTGGTAAAGTATACCTTATATTTACTTTAACTTTCCACTCCCAAATCACATATTTTAACACACCATTATTATTTTTAGTGAGGCAGTCTCACTACTACTAAGAAAACTGAAAGTCTGAATTAAATGTAGTCGTGCAACTTAAAGAAATAAGCTCACAGGTGGCACTTTCTCCTCCTCTGCTTTCGATCACCCATTTTCCAGCTCCTTCCCCGGCCTCCCTTCCACACCCTCCAAGCTCTGAAGGAGGGTCTACTGTGTATCAGGCACTGTGCTAGACAGCTGAGACCTCACCCTTACCCTCCAGGGTCTCCGATGTTGGAAGCGGGGTCTATAGAAATTAGAAATGTGCAAAACGACATGGTAAATTCTACACTAGAGATTGAAAAAACAACAGCAATAAACAGTAGGAAACTGGAAGAGTGACTTTAGATGAGTCAGTTATTTTAGACACTTAGCAAGTAGGTATTATTTTAGAGCTGTTTTGTCCTTGGAAAAAGTATTATTTGCACCTTTGTCAAATAGTCTAGGCAAGTTTTCAGACTTGGTGAACTTGAATTCCCTCCTTGTGAATGGATCTCTGGAAAGCTACAGCAATCAAGTCTTACCTTATGGTAACACCTAAAATACGCAGCTCGCTCATCGGAAAATTTCTCCAGTCTCTTTGGACCTTTGCTTGAGGCTTTCTTGAATACTAACCAGCATCGTTGATAAATCTGGAAAGATATACAAAGACTGAGCTCAGCATCACTATGGACTCAGATATTATTATGTGCTGACATTTGCATTTAAATGTTTCCTTTTTGATGTTTTCACCTGTAAAATAGTCACAAGCCTTAGATGCAATATTGCTTTGGGAAAATAAAATTTTAAAAACCAAAAATGGTTCCATGGTGAGCGTGCTCTGTTGTTCATCATCACTGGAACCAAAAGAAAATAAGTATTTGAAGGCAAATTTCTTTATGTTTTGATAACAATATCAGCAGGATCATTTGAGAAAAATCTCAGAGCTAAAAATCTCAAATCAGTACAAATAATATAGACATTCATGGCACGTACTCTAATTTCAAGTGCAATTAAATATAGAAATCATCGATCTGGTGTATACTAAAGATGTCATTGGCAATCCAAGAAAGAGACAGCCCCTGGGTATCATTTCTTAAATAGCAAGAGGTAGCAGTAAAATAATAGAGTAAATAAAATCAATTCTGCAGCCATTCGTCTTGCACACTCAATGAATTTATCAAGGATTATGACATGGAAACAGAAGTGAAAACGTAATTCAGTGGAGAAAGGGTAGCTTTTTCACAAACGGTGCTGGAATAATTGATTATCACTGGGGAAAAAACTACTTTAACCTAAAATACTCATCTTATACAAAAATTAATTCCAAGTAGGCTTGAAAATAAAACAAAACTTAAATATAAATGTAAAACTATAAGACTTTTAGTAAAAAAAAAAAAAAAGAGAGAGAGAGAAAATGTTGAGGAGGATGGGCTAGACAGAGTTCTTAGACTTCTTACCAAAAGCACAATCCGTACAAGAAAAATTTGCCAACTGTACCTCACTAAAACGTAAAACTTTTGCTATGTGAAAAATCCTGTTAAAAGGATGAAAAGACAAGCTCAGATGGGAGAAAATATTTGCAAACCACGTATCTGACAAAGGATTAGTATCTAGAACGTATAGAGACCTCTGAAATCTCAACGGTAAAACAACCGACAATCCAATTACAAAATGAACAAAAAGACACAAATAGACATTTCACCAAAGAGGATATACAGATGCTTTGATCGAGAAGCACGTGAAGAGATGTTCAACATCATTAGCCATGTGGGAAATGTACATTAAAACCACAGTGAGGTATCACTACACGCCCATTAGATTGGCTGAAATTAAAAAATAATAATAATAATAACGCTATCAAATGCTGACAGGGATGCAGAAAAACTGAGTCACTCATACATTGCTGGTGGACATATAAAATGGTACAACCACTGTGAAACAGTTTGGCAGTTTCTTAAAAAAAAACTAAATAAGCAACATACGACCAACAGTTACACTCCTAGAAATCAGTCCCAGAGCAATGTAAACTTCCCACAAAAAATATCTGACCATGAATGTTCCCAGCAGCTTTATCTGTATCACTGAAAAACTGGAAACAACTCATGTATCCTTCAACGGGAGCATGTTGCTAAACTGTGCTACATCCATATCATGAAACACTACTTAGCTACAAAAACAAACGAACTATTAATACTGCAACGATCAGAATGAGTCTTCATAGAACTACACTAGTGGAGGAAAAAAAAAGCCAAACTCAAAAGGTTGCAAACATACTGTACGACTGTGTTTATAGCAAAATTATAGAGATTATAGAAAACAGATTAGTGGTTGTCAGGGGATAGGGATGTGCGTGGCAGGGAGCAGAGGGAACAGGGTGTGCCTACAAAAGGGTATCATAAGGGATCCTTTCTGTGATGAAATTGTCCTGTATCTTGACTGTATTCATGCCAATGCTTGTACTGTAGTTTCGAAGATGTTATCACCAGGGAAACTGGGTGAAGGTAGAAGATCTTCGTGTGATATTTCTTACAATTGGATGAGAACCTATAATGATCTCAAAATGCTTAAAATTTTTAAATGGAAAAATGTAGAGATATTTAACCAAGATCTTAAAATTACAGCCGACTCTATTCAGCTATCTGCACTCTTCATCGGTCCTACTGCTGCTGCTGTCTAATTAACCAGGAGGCCAAGTAACTTTAAGTTACAAGAACCGTGGGTAAGAGTTCAAGCCCAAAATCCTTTTCAGGATGGAGATTCGGTCATGAAAATCAACGTTCTCAGTACCATGGTTGGCAAATACAAATCTTACCAACATCTCACTTATGTCTGCATAACGGATGACACAGCTGGCCCCCTTAAAATTTGATGGCCATCAGAGGACTGTAATTACAGCCGAAATGACTGACACTCTGATTGTTCAGATGAAACGTGTGGCAAATCGGTCCCTCACTGTCGCTCTCATGCTGGCAACCACTTTCTTTTGTATGTGTCCCCAAAAACGTGTTAGAAATTGAGCATGCTAAAGGTATGCAAGAAATATGCCCGCTACCGAAAAAAAAAAATATCTTCACTGAGCTAGATACTTTAAATTTCCTAATTATGCTTCAGCTTTCAGACCCAATATTGAATGATAGCATTTCTAACTTATTTTTTTTTTTAAAGAAGTTGTTCATTTTCTTCACAATTGAACCAATATTTGCCTTCCTTATGTCCAAAGGCTGCTGAACGTAAGCTAGGGGTTCCTCGATTTCGGCATGCCTAACTATTTCCAACGACTCCATCTGTATTAAAGTTTAGAGGATTATTTGCCCCATTTTTTGTTTTTCTTTTGTTTTATTAAGTAGTAGGGACAAAAGTACAATCAATGTTCGAATTCAATAACTGCAAAGGTACGAGCATATAAATCCACATGCAACATTGCTTGTAACTATCGGCTGGGGATAAGTGAAAACGTTTTGGTTCATCGGAAGATGAGTCAAACCGAAGTTTGGTTGATGAAAAGGCAGCTCGAAATGTTTGTGACATAGAGACACATGGCACAAAAACAGTGAAAAGAGGGATCTGTCACACGTCATACATCAGCAACTCCCAGAGTTGGTTCAACATCACTCGAGATCGTTGTTAAATGTGCAGATTCCCAGAGATTAGCCAAGGTCTACCGAATCTCATCCCCTGGGGGTGGAGCCAGACAAACTGGCTCTTTAATGAATCCCCAGGTGTTCCGCCTGCAATTTGCAAGCCGGTGCCATACATGTTCATTGAGACTTTCACACAACGCAATGCTTCTCACTTGATGGACCGATGGACTGCCAACAAAGAACTCGACAACCAAAGGTCCCTGATGGGGACCCCTGAGATGTGCGGTTTCCAACTAGTGGCCGCGGCGGCAGTGTGAGATGCCACCTCGGGTCTGAGAGGCACGCTGACGGAAAAACTTAAATCTGGCTCAGTAAACTCCCTATTTCAACTGCCATGCAGTCTGTCCTAAGAACACCAGAAAAGCCACGCAGCACCAAAGGATTAAAAACTTATCCTAAATATCTCAGGATTCTTTAGAAGGACTGAAACAGGAAGACTCAGTGAACTTGGTAACATGTGGAGAAGACTAACTGAATTAACACTGGCATTGCTGAAATACTATAAGGGTGACAATTTGAGAACGGTCCCATAAACTTAATAGTTTAGGGCAGTATTTTTTCTTTACATTAATTCATTCAACCACCTTCACATTTTAAATGACACATCTACATACCGTCTATACTATTTTCCAGTGAACATTTTTCTTTCAATAGACTCTTGTTGTTTGTTTTTATTTGTTTGTTTTTAATTTCTCATTATGACGACACTGGTTAATGAAATCCAGTAAGTTTCATGTGTATAATTCAACAGTAAGGCATATATATGTATATATATATTGCACAGTGTGTTCACCGCCCATAGTTAGATTTCTTTCTGTCACCACATATTTGACACCTTTTACTCCATCTACCCACCCCTTGTTGTTTGTTTTTATTTGTTTGTTTTTAATTTCTCATTATGACGACACTGGTTAATGAAATCCAGTAAGTTTCATGTGTACAATTCAACAGTAAGGCATATATATGTATATATATATTGCACAGTGTGTTCACCGCCCATAGTTAGATTTCTTTCTGTCACCACATATTTGACACCTTTTACTCCATCTACCTCCCCCCTTCCCATCTACCCTCTGGTAACCACTAGTCTATTGTCCAGATTTTTTTAACTAAATTTTTTTTAATTTAGAAGAGGAAACTTCTATCCTAACCATAATAGGAAAGAGTAGTTTCGCTGCCCATGAAGAGTTGGCAATCATGATGATAAATGCACTGTTAGGGAATGTGATGACAGAATAATTTTCATGTTGAGATACCTCGCCCTCTTCTACGCATCAGGGCTTCTCCATCTTAGCAGTACTGACATTTTAGGGAAGATGGCTTTTTGTAGCGGAGGGCTGTCCTGAGCTCTGTAGGATGTTTAGTAGCATCCCCAGCCTCCACCGACCAAACTCCAATAGCACATTCCCCCCACTTCGGCTGACACGCAAAATTGCCTCCAGACATTGCCCATTGTCCCCATGCGGGGCCAAGTCAGAACCTCTACTTAAGATGAAGCCATGCCGATCTGAGATGGCACATTTGAAGAATGTGTGCTTTACAAATACCTTCAAGGGCCAGGTTTAGCCAAGCCAATCCACACAAGCCACGGCAGAAGCTGAAACAGATAAACGCATCACACAGTGATGACCACCTGGGTAGATATGCACCAGATTCAGCAGCTACATGAAAATCTCCTTCGGTGTGCGTTTTGTTGTTTTTGTTGGTGGTTTCATCGTACCTCATTTTCAGCCTTAAGCTGTCACTGAACCTTACGAGATTTGTAATATTTTCTCATTGTCTTTCCTCTCTTTAAAACTTGACAGCTTTAATAGCTGCTGAACTCCGGTTTCAAACCCCTGACATTTTTACTAGCTTCTGTTCCTAACAAAGAACAGTCTGGTAAATTCACCACAATTTCCAGTGCCAAGAAGCAGATGAGGATTCGCTTAGAGTTCCTAAACCTATTATCAGTCCCTCACGACGTCCCGGACAACCGAGTCACAAATTAAACTGCTGGAGGGTACACA